TGTCCTACACGAAGCCAGTATTACACTTATCCCAAAACCAGACAAAGACACCATCTTTAGTAGAGCTGGGCTGACAGCTTAAAAAACAAAAAATAAAGCTTTTGAGGTAACAGTCTTTAGAGTTCACCAAATAATACCCTGATTATTTTACAAATGAAGGCATTCAAGTCCACAAGACTGATTCATTCTTTATTCCAAGGTCGTTTGTTGGTGCCTGAAACTACAGGATCCTTACACTTTTATTCTAATACTTATCATCCTATTAAGCTGCTTCTCTCATAGCATTAACTTATGGCCCACTAATATAAGTGTTAGTAAGATGAAAATTATGAATACTACTAGATGATCAAAGAGTCTTACACAAAAAGAAAATTTCAAGAGACATACATAAATACATTTTCATTGGAATTGGTCCCTCTTAGAGGGTCAAAGACACATAGTTGAGTTAATGGAATTTTGGTCTTATCATTTGGTCATGTGAAAACAAATAAATGTGTAAAGTGTTGATGGTGATGCCTATTTCTCCTTAAACTAGGTAAATTTTAAAGCAAATTTAGCAAATTATTTTATTTTTTAAAATATCAGCTTCAGATAGTATCAAAATTAGATTTGCAATTAAAACTGGAAAAAGTATCTTTCTGAAAGTATTTTCTTCTATTTATAGTTTAAAATTCTACTATGATATAACCATTATTTTATATTTAGCTTAAATGCCTACTAAGTATTTCTTAAATTTAAAAAACTTGAGAAATTTTTTACTTCAAAGCAATTTATTGACAAGTTTTTAAAATCTAAAATTCGACTTTATTTTTACACTTCTGCCCATCAATCTGGAAATAATAGCTCATAAGAAAAAAGCATCATTTTTTACATTAAAAGTTCTAATAGCATACTTTTACCTTGTTGTATATTCCATAACTTTTTAAACAAAGTTATAAGTGATAGCAGAAATCAAGACCTAATTTAAATACCAAGGGAATAGTAAACATAATGACTATCTATAGATAGTCATATATGCATATAGCATATACGCTATACCATTCAATAACTAGAAAAGACCAAAGTCTGATGTCTGTCATTTCAAATCAAAAAAGTGATTATTTATCTTTAGCTCCCAAATGTACAGGAAAGCACACTCAGCATCTAAGAGACATCCCAAAAGATCTGGTCTTTAATTAAAACTTCACTAGTCATGGGCAGAACTACAGCACACCAATCATATGAAATTAAAACATTAGGAGGTCATGTAAGAAAAAACTGCCACTGGTATCAGCAAGCATTACACATAGAAGAAAAGATTTGCCTGGCCTACAATTACTTGTTAATTATTTAGTAAAGCCAATGTATAACACACATGAAGACTACTTCTCTTTCTACTAAATATTCTCTATGACTCTTTTCTGCAAAATTGTAGCTCCCTGGGCCTTTCCTTTATCTCCTGGATTCTGTTTATTTCACTCCTACAGGGGGAGGAATCTTCTGGGAAAGCAATGCCAACACTGAAAAGCTGAGCTTCGAAATAGTCAACCTTTTGGGAAAAGCAGTATTATTTATACTGAAAGTCTGACCCATTACTGAACAAATGCAAAACTATGAAACAGAAAAGACTGATTTAAAAAGAATACTGAATGATCTGAGACATCTCCGTCTACCAAATATTTAGTGTAGAATCTATTTGAGGCCCAAGTCTTCATTTCACCTATCAAATTCACCGATCTCTGAGGCTAGAAGATCATGAGCTCAAGGCTAGGTTGGGCTACATAGTGAGATCCTGTCTCAAAAATCAACCAAATAAATAAACTCACACTGAGTATCCTACTTATTAAAGTCCCTAAAAACAGCCAATGAATACATAACTTTATCCTGCTGCGTGGGTAATCAATTCCAGTGAGATAAGGGAGGCTATTCTCAGATATTATTTATTTTGAAGTAAAAGGAGGGTTCAATTTTGGCATTAACCCCAGCTTTCAACCTTCCTTCTATTAGGGGTATTTTGTTTAAAATAGAGCTCACTTACATGGAACAAGTTTCATAGATATGTTGATTTTAAGGTACTTTAAACCAAGAACTTTAAGGATTCTGGCAAGAGCATTAAATGGTCACCAAAGTAAACTATCTGCTTTCCAACACTCATTTAGGTGCCTGTTATCCCTAAAAATACTTTTTTTTCAAAATACTAATGACGGTCACTTAAATACATAAAGCCTAACTTTTTTTCCTCTCATTTTGTTTTCAAATTTGAAAAATGAGGATGGCAGTTTCAAAATTACATGGATATTAAAAGTACATCCTTAAAGGGATATGGAATAAAAAGTTAAATGATTACATCCCATACAACAGTCAAAGATCATCAAGATCAAGGTCTGGCTTGGGCTCAGTGGTAAGCACTTGCCTAGGACACTCAAAGCTCAAGGACCTGGGTTCCATCTCCAGTGTGTGTGTGCATGTGCCATCAAGGTAAATTTGGATAATAATACCTGAAAAGAGCACCAGACTAAAAGGATTCATATAAAAGTATCCAGGCAATTTTCCTTAATTACTATGTCCAAATAAAATGTTGTAAGAATAGTTGAATACATTACCTAAAAGATTAAGACTTCTCAAGTTCTTTAATAGAACCAAAACACGATTTAATATGAAAGGAACTATATTTAAGGGAATCTAAGAACCAGTAACAACCTGTTAATACTTCAGAAAAATTCAGTCTTTAAAACATTCAGCAGGATATGAGTAACACTCTTGGCCTCACGTGATCTCAATTCTGAACTATCCCAAGACTCTCTACAACCTTTACCTAAGGGAAGGTACATCTAAAAAAAGCATCAACCCTTTAAAGATCTACAATTAGAGGCTCCAATATTATTAGAGAAAAATAAGCAAGGTATAACATTGCTATAACAATACTCAGTCTTCCTAACCAGCCGTGCAGCCACAGATAACCTGTCTGTCTATAGTTCCCAGCCCTACTTTAGTGACCCCTGATGATCACACATTGTTTTCTGATCAAGGTTTCCTAGATCATGATCTCTGGCTTTCCTGCTCCCTTGAGTTTTCTCTCTCTTCTAACTCCTCAGTTGCTTAAATACAAATATTTCCTGCCTGTAACTCAACAACGATCATTGATATTTCCACTCAAGCACAGTAAGAATTTTTGTGTTATTCAGGTGTATTTAACCTAAATAGGGTCTATACTTTAATCTAAAATTTTGTTTATATTTAGATATTGCTTACATTTTTATTTGCTTTTCTTCTTGATGGTGACCAGACCAAGGAAATAAAATAAAATACAAATTGTTCAACTTTTCACTAAAAGCAGCTTTGACACAAGGTTGATAAAATTTCAAATAGATAACTAACAAAAATTTCATGCACTAAATTAATGTATTAAAGCTAATTTTATCCCCAATTAGCCAAAACCAAATTGGGAGTACTATTATCAGATCTTTTCTTAGGGAACTATAGATCAGTAATAGTTAACTATGGCCCTAGGACTCAAGTTACAAGTGTCCTAAAAAGGGAGTTAAAAGCAGATGAAAAACCCTTGGTTCCATATAAAACCTCTGATCTTCTTTATGGGATAACCAAATAGGCAAAATGTATCTACATAAAAATCTGCTATGAAATAGACTAAGATAATTATAAGAATCTTAGACATTGAAGTTTAATATGAAATAAAAAATGTTTTCACATTACTGTGGTAGATCAGACACAAGTATCCTGGGAAAACCTTGTTCAGCAACTAATTACCTATATCCCATTCCCAAAGAATATTTTGACCCGTTTTTGTCTAAGAACTCTAATTTGAATCATTTTCTATCTACCTAATTTTATCTTTAACTTAGACATACTACAGTAAAAGAAAAATGGAAGGCTTCTATCTTGTACATCAAAAGAACATTAACTTAGATCATTGTTACATTCCAAATTATCCCCACTATTAATTGAGGATGCTACTGAAAAAAATTCTTAGGACTCTGCTTTCATTTTTGAAATTCAGTTGAGATCTCCCAAATCAGAATTCCCTTAAAATATTCCTAACAGCAGGGAGTGGCTATGCTACATGCTATACAGTGCGTAAAGATTTTCCATCCCCCCATAGTGTTCTTCCTTTTTGACTATTTCTCTTGTAAAAATGATAATATCGATTTTAAAAAGATAAAAAGCTTCAGTAGTATACTTAAACCATTTAAAACCAATTTTAAGCTAAGAGTTTGACAATTATAATCAACAAACAACTGCACTCTTCAGGTGACATTTCCCTTTTATTTTTGACTCTATTCTCAAGAAACCACTATTCTTCTGGTAAATATTATTTTGGCCAAGAGTAATCATTAACTAAAATGCACAGGTGCGTTAAAAAATGAGACAAATTGGTGTGTGTGGAGGGAAAGGCTAATATACTGGTTAAAAAAAAGGACAACACCAGAGTGGCAACTGTGAAACATTTAATTAGCATATCTTTCTTAATAATCCCTTCAGCATTTGACAAAACTTGTTTTTAAAAGCTTGAAATTAAAAAAGAATGGCCATGAACAAATCTTTGTGATGCTTTTTGTCTTTTATAAGTAATAATGACAAATTTCCAGATTGCTGAGCATAAGGCTGTGTCTATACCTAATCCATATGAAATACCTATGACTTAAGAACTCCCTACCTCTGCTCCCCAAAATGATCACTGTGTAGACTTCACCATAGGTGTAGGGACAGTCTCACAAATTGGTTTACACAATTTATACAGAAATTTTTATTAAATGAGGATTAGTCATTATAAAAATAAAGCAACAAAATAGGATCTAAACTCTACTAAATCAAAATAAAAAAAGCTAAATGTAGAAGTATACAGTAGACAAGTTTCAACAAAGTTTGTCATGAATTCATAAAACTAGATAAAATTCATGTTGAATACTCACCATTAATGTTGAGTTCAAAATAAATGTATTTATAATCTATCATATTTCCTAATTTTACATTCTAGAATAAAAAATTTTCTTAAAACTTACCCAAATGCAGTAATGTAAATTGGGCGGCTAGTTCCTTGGCATCTTCTAACGTAGTACAGAGTTTGTCTGGCATGAAGTAACTCTGGGATCCATTTGCAATAGCAGGAATAACTATTTTATATACCAAAAGTACTTTCCCATCCTGACTGGTTGTTGAATATAAATAGTATTCTGGTGGAGCCCAATTATTTTTGTTGCAGTAGTAATCCAAATGCATTACTGCAGAATTAAAATGGTTGGATTTTAAAGAATACATACTAATTGGAGTAAGCTTTGTTCCAGGGAAAAAAGGATAAGTGCATCTTTCAATTTCAGGGGGGCTTGGGCTATGCTGGCCATTGAGACGAGTGGCAAGAGTTGGTGGCTTGCCTAGAGTTTTTGGGTGGCTCTCTTCTTTGTTAGCATACACAATCAGGTTTTCAGAATTGGGGCTAATCTGACCATTAAGATGCTGTCTCCAAGTGTTTTCCTTATTTACTGGTTTTGCCAGTGTTACCTCAATACTTGCTCCATCAATGCATTTTCCATTCATAACAGACATAGCAGCTACGGCATCTTCTCGGTTGAAAAAGTGAACAAAAGCATAATCTCTAAGTTTCTTTACTCGTTCAACTGCACCAGGCTTGAATTTATTGAATTCTGCTTTAATTGTTTCCTCGGTAGTAGAGATCATTAAATTTCTTACATAGAGAACTTTAACCCTCTGCATGGTTTCCTCATCAACTTCTTTCTCTGGATCAGCCCAATCTACCTGAATGGTATGGCCCCATAGCTGGAATGTTCCTGTAAGAAAAAATTTGAAAAAAATTAAAACACATAATAAAAGTTCAAAATGGTATTTAAAACTTTTAAGTAATATTTTATTTGCATAACATTCTTCAAAGCAGCAGAAACTCAAGCACATACCAAAACATTTGATTAAGCACTTGTTTCCAACTCACACGAATTTATGGTGGGATTTATTTTAAGAGTCAATATGAAAAATATGCTTTTCTTGTTTTGTTTTGTGGTATCAGGCTTTGAACTCAGGGCCTCACACTTGCTATACAGGTGCTCTACTACTTGAGCCATTCTACCACCCAACAAATATGCTCTGAAGTTAGATCATTATTAGAAAAAGTAAGCAATACCTTTTGGGTTCTCATTAAACAATAATTAACACCTCAACTAAAGTACATAATTTCGGTAATCGGTAAATTATCACAAATGACTCATTTTATAGAAACAATTTGTCTTTTGGAACCACTTATTTTACTTCCTCACTAAAATAATTCCTTATTCCTCTTTAAGTAGCATCATATATTTTATCAATAACGATCTATGATGTGTTATCATTTTTCCATATTTATAATGAGGTTAATAGGAAAAAATAGCCTTTAAAAAGAATTAGGTTACCTGGAATTAGTTTTCTCCTAGCCATAGCTGCAGCTCTGTGAGATTCGTATTCAACAAATGCAAAACCACGATTTTTGGTCTTATCAGTTGCACTTGGATAAACAATTACATCTACAACTCCTTCTGTAACTTTCTTCATTTCATCCAAAATTTCTTCTTTCTTCTTTTCCTTGGGAATAGCTCCAATAAATAATCTGCAGTTATCCAAGCTTACACACACACCAATGAACTTCCCTGGTCGAATCTCATAATTATTAAGAATTCTGATGGCTAACTGAGCTTCTTCTTTTGTAGTGTACATCACAAAAGCATAACCTCGATTTTCACCACTAAATTCCATCATAAGTCGAAACTCATATATCTTCCCAGCTCTTTCAAATACAGGAACTAACTCATCTTCATACATATCACGAGGTATTTTTCCTACAAAAACTTCACAGCCTCTAGGTGGAGGTGGACCTTCCCAACCTGAAAGACAAAAATAAATAAAAAATAAATTCTAAAAAGATATATTCAATATTGAATCATTTACTCATTTAGCAAATTTGTTATGAGCTTCATATATGACATGTAATATTCCAGGTGTGAGGGTATAACAGTTAACAAAATAAAGCTTATTTCAACAAAGAAGGGAGACAGTGAGTGGTAAGTGCTATGAAGAAATATTAAGCCACAAAAGCAGTGCTATCTCCAGCAAAGTGATCACATAAATCTCTGAGCACAGAGACTTGAATGAAATGAAGGAATGAACTACGAGGATTATCTATGAGAAGGGCATTCAGAAAGAAGAAAAACCATGAGTTTTTAAGTAAGAACAAAACAGAGTAAAGAGCCTGTATGGCTAAAGTATACCTGAGAGTGGAGCAAAATAGTAAGCTGATGCAGCCATTGAGGTAACTAGAAGCCAGAATTTTATGTGTAATACAGTTAACTGGGTTTTGAGGAAAGCAATCACACTGGCTATTGGCAGAAGGTGAAACACAGTATCTGGTTTTCTCATATAAAGATCACTTCTCTACTCATGCTCTTTCAAATCTCTCCCCCAATGACCTCTCTTTTAATCACAAGAGAACACTTTTTCTCACTGCTCTTCTCCTGACTTCTTTTTCAATCCAACAGTTTCTTTCTTAGCTGCTTCTTAAAGCAAGAGCAAGGTTGCAAAGTGTATGGCTACGATATACATCACTTTCATAATCTCTTTCCCTCCAAAATGATTTCTGAGGTGTCAAAGCAGTTACAGGGAGAGAGCTACTGGTAGGGACACTAGCGGGCATATATACCTCATCTAAATGATTACATTAAATATTTAACTTAAAAGAATATAAACAGGGCTGGCAGAGTGACTCAAGTGGTAAACACCTGCCCAGGAAGTGTGAAGTCCTGAGTTCAAATCCCAATACAACCTCCCCAAAAGAATATAAACAAATCCATACCTGGAGGAGGGCCACCAAATTTCCTTTGCCCATTTTCTTGAACCATGTTGTAACCAGTCTTCTCCATCAAAGCAAGTAATGCTGCTTCGTTCTGAGTACCAGTTCGAACTTTATTGCATCCATTTGTTCCATCTATGTTTTCTTCATTCATGGCTGCAGTTCCTAAAACAAAGTTAATAGTGTAAGTGCATGTTTTTATAGCACCAGGAATCTATGGAGCAGAAAAACAAGGACAGTTGTGGCTGCCCCATTTGATATTACTCTTCACTGTTCCCTTCAGATTGGGCTCAAAGCTCTTTCCTACAGTGAAACTGCTTTTAATGTTACTGGATCATAAGCAATCCCTTTAGAAGGCCTAATCTATAAGAAAGGAAAGCAAAATTGAAAAGAGAAAGGAACAAAGACAAGAACAGGAAAACAGGAGAGTTAGAGAAAAAAAGAAAGCAAAAAGAGTAACAAAATACAATACCATCAATGACTATATGATCACTGACCATCTACATGGCCCACTGTTTAAGATTTAAATGATTTTATTATACAAGTCAACTGAATTTTATGTGAATCATGTTTCTAAGATACATGTACCTAATGCCAATATTGTTCATCTTATCAGCAATCTTGAAGAGCTCCACCAGTTTCCAGAAATTGAACAGATTCCTGGAATAAATTTTAAAAACTTCAAGTCAGTCCCTATTCCTATCTACAGGAATAAGTTGCCAGAGAGAGAAACACAGAAACAGAAACAGGAACTACTATGATTCTGAACCAGCAGCTTAAGAAACTCCTATCAATGTATGGACAGGAGCTAAGACAAAAGAGCTCTTCACCATGATATATACAAACGTATTTTATTTTTTAAAATGAACTCAATTACCATATTCTTAAGGGTTTTTTTCCTGCTACTTAATGTTATATCGCTCTCATTTAGTGTTACCGTGAATAAATATGAAAATTAAAATTCATAGTATGAAGAATACACTGTGAAAACTATTTTGGCTTCCAATGGAAACTTCCAGATTATAGTTGGAAACAAAGTCATTGTGGCACATTTCTAAAAGCATGTAATTTTTGAGCCACAGCACCTCAATTTCAGCCTTCCCAGCTATGCAATCTTAGACAACTTAATTTCTTCTCACTTAGCGCCAATACAAATTATCACATAGTTGCTTTTAAGATTGAGTAAGACAATGTATGAAAAGGCTTGTGGAAAAATTCCATAAGGATCAAATAAAGGGTTTGATAAATATGAGACCAACACTGCATCTTAATTTTTTATGCACCCACACTATTGACAAAGGCAGCCCTTTATTTCAGATACCTCTTTCATTTCTGAAAGGTGGGGTCTGAGTGTGGTGTGTACATACATACCGAGGGAAGGCTATCAGCATCCTACATTGTGTTCTATAGTGAGCGTGTACAGAGTAAGGGAAACTCACTGCAGCTATCCATTAGTACATAGTAGAGCACAGTGGCTCTGGAGCCAGACCACCTGAATTCATAACCTTTCTTTTCACTAACTAGCTATACAACAGTTCCACTGGACCTCAACATCTTCATCTGCAATATGCAAATAATAACACTGTCTACTTTCACAAAGATTTTATAGGAGTCATATTTTGGCCTTAAGCAATTAAAACAATTACTCAGAAATAGTAATTTTGTGCATACGTTAGGACCTTTCAAACCATTAGACATCTGTAAATAACGATAGATAGAATGCAGTGGTTCTACTCATTTGCACACTAACTAGATTTAAAACAAAACTGTGATGCCAGATAAAACAGGCTGGCAACAGTGATCATGAGGTTCAGTGTGGTTTAGGTTTATTGTAAATGTCAGGACATTTCTACACATTATATCATCTCTACAAGTTGTTGAAGCAAGTATTAACCTTGCTATTTTCACTTAACAGATTAAGAAGTATTCTTAGAGAAACTATAATACTCAAGAATGACAAACAGAAAGTAGCACAGACAGAATTCAAAACCAGGTCTGCTTGATCTGAAACACCCCCTCTTGCCAAGAAAACTATTTTGAGATACCTTCTGTCTCTGTTTACTTGTGTATTACAAGTAGACAATAATAGTTTCTACCACAGAGGATTCAGAATAAGGGTCTTAAAACAGCCCTTTGTATATAAGCACTATAAATGTATTTACTATTATTAATATGTAATAAAACAGTAAGAAAAACACAAACTACAGGCCAGGGACTTTAAACTCAAATTTATTCATTTGTTCTAAGTATTTATTAAGTACCAACTGTGCTCCTGGCACTATTTATTATCTCTGGGATATACCAGTATATGAAGGACAAAATTCCTCCTTTGCATAGCTTATATTCTAGTGGGAAAAAGAAACGATAAATACTAATAATATAATACATAAGAAAATAAAAATACTAAGGAGGAAAATGATCAGGGATAGAACACATGGAACAGTAGGATGTTGGCAGAAGATAGGGTAGGATTTAAAACAGGGTAGCCAGTTTGGGCCCCACTGAGAAGGGAACCTTTGATCTAAAATTTAAAGAACCCACCCATGTAGCTATCTGAGAAGAACATGTCACACAAAAAGAAGAATCAGGAGATAGAATCAGTGAGGTAACAAGCTGCCTTACTATGTATACCTTATAAGGTGGATAATGTAGGAACTTTAACTTTTATTTTGAGTTAAGTGAGAAGCCACTGCAGAGTCTGAGCATAGGAGTAATGTGATCTTTTAAGATGGGAAGTCTTAAAAGGATCATCTAGCTGTGCTGAAAAGTCAACAGAAGGGCAAAAGTAGAAAAAGGGAGACTAGTTAGAAGACTACTACTAAAACACAGGTAGAAATGATGATGGAATGCACCAGAGAAGCTGAGGGAAAAGAGATAGAGGTCTGCTTTATTTTGAAGGTACATCCACTAGATTTTTCTGACATAAAGGAATACAGATTGTGAAATAAACAGAAGTGAAGGATGACACCAAAGTTATGGCTTGAGCAACAAGAGAGATAAGGAAGGTTGAAGAGAGCAGAGACAGGAGTTCAGTTTTACACGTTAAGGTTGAATACCTACTAAACAACCAACTCAAATGCCTACAAGGCCTGGCAAAAAATGTTAAGTGTAGCAGACAAGTACAAGACCATAGAAGTGGTATGGATTGTGTTTAATTCGAAATTCTATGTACTCAACTCCAGCAAAGTGTTATCATTAAGAAAATTTAACTTTTCTAAATATGGCACATTTACCAATTTGTTAAGAGAAGCCAGAAATCTAGAGATTTTTCTATGAAATCTCTCAATATTTAAAAACTGTAAATAAATTCAACTGTAAAAAAATTAACAAAACTCTATAGACCAAACAAAATGCCTGCAGACCGCCTAAAGGTTGCATGAGCATGAAGACTACTTCTGAACACTTTCTCTGGTACCACCATACTACTTAGCACTCAGTAGGAACTCAATAAATTTGTTGGATAAGAGAGCCCAACAGAAAATCCAGGAAAAAATGCACAAGTCTTCACATGCTGTTGGCAGTTATGCATTAAACTGGAATCATCTCTTTATAGGGGGATATTTAGCAATATTAATTCAGATCTAAAATGTACATATATCTGGTAATTACTAAGAACTTATAGGTTGTAGGTATAGTTGCCCAAGTACACAAAGATATGCACAAGCAAAGAAACATATATAAAAGTAGTAACCTAGAAAATAACTAGTCCATCAACAGAGAAATGATCCAAAAATTTTATGTGGTTTAACTATGGAATGGGGTGTTGTGCAGCTGTTAAAGAATGTCATAAGGCTGGAGATGTAGCTCAGTGGTAGAATACTTCCTCGAATGTGTGAGGGCCTAAGTTAGATCCCCACCAGCAGCACGCATACACACACTCATACACACACATAAAATGCTTTTGAGATTGTGAAAAAGGAAAAAGAATTTCATAGGTTCATGTGATAACAGAAAATACTCAAGACGTAAGAAAGAACAATCTGGAGAACAGCACACTTACTATAATAATTACTGTGGTGGTGTTTTTTTTAAGATATGTATGTGCACAGTCATAGATGTACGTAACAAATGTAGAACAGTTTATAAGAAACTTTAAAAATAGCCATTACTGGTGAGCAGGAACGAGGAGTTCATGCATTTACTTCTCATTTTTCTGCAAATATCAATAGCATGTTTTATTTGTATTAAAAATAAAAGCTCTTTGTGGTTTTCCATTGTTATTTAAAGATAAAATCCAAACATTGTAGAAAGTCATAAAAGTCTATTTGTATTAAAAATAAAAAACCAGGGCTTCCCACTGTTAAAGATAAAATCCAAACTACAGAAAGTCATAAAGATCTTTTCATATTCTGGCTCAGTCTACCTCTCCAACTTCATTTCTTATTATGTGACAACTATAATAAGTACCTATTTGTGAATTCTCAAATGTGTCATATTCTCATGCACCAGCTTTTTACACAGATTGTCTTCACAGTCCTTCCCTATTTTTTTGGTCTTTCTCAATCTTAATATTCTCTAGGAACCTCTCTTCAATTCTAAGTGAGATATTCCTTTGGCTCCACTACCCTCACAGAATTCCTCTTCCTCCATCTCTTATCTCCCCAACCCCCACAAGACTTTGAGAAGGGTCTGGTCGCCTCCTATTTCCCTAGCACACTGTAGCCTCCCTGACATGTGATGAATGTTCAATGAATGTGAAGGGATTTAACTGAAAATAATAAGCTTGGATTAAAGCGCTGCATTTCAGTCCTTGGTCAAGAGACCTTGGTCAAATCATTTTACCACCCTGACCTTTGCTTTCCTAATTGGCAAATTCTTATATCTGCTTCTGCATTTATTTACTTAGCACACTAAATGTCATGCATAATGACAGCCACTACCTATACATGATCTCATATGGTCCTTGCAGTAATCCTATGAATCATGTATCTCAATGCAGACTTTTTCTCCATAAATGTTTAATTCAGCAGACATCCATCTTATTCTTGATTTTTTACCAGGAGCTCACTATCCTCTAGCACAACTTAACTTTGGACAATTCTTGATCTAGGTTTTATTCTTCCATCCTCCTTCACAGAACTGCATGTAAAAGATGACTCTCCTCTGGGCTGAGCACTATCAGTTTCTTTAACCTAAAATGTGCTCAACTGGTATGGTATCCCTCAGAACATTGTTCAGGAGCTATGAACAGACAGGCTTCAAAGAGTGTGTTCCACATCTAGTCATATCTTTTAAAAAAATCACTGTAACTTACTCTTGAAACTATTATAATGAACATCAGCATATTTTAAAGACATGAAAAGTATCTGCTAAAGCAAACTTTTCAGCCTTAATTCCCATGTTTATCAAGTTTATTTCAGCATGATCCCCTAACTTCTTCTGACATATCTATCAACTTTCTACAGAGCTGTTTGGAAAGTGTTTCTTACATACCATCCTTTCATGTTTTCTCATTATCCTTTTTTTCCTTTGAAAGTGTGGTAGCCAAAATTGAAAAGTATGCCATTGTAGAAAAAAATCATATTAGTGTCACACAGAGCTGCATGACCTTGTCAGTTCAAATTAGGCACCCTGTCAACAAAATCTCCAAACCAGCCCTGGCCTATACTAAGTAACCAGATTTTATCTGCATTTTATCCCATTAGATTCAAACTGCCACTTCTTCCTACCTCTACTCTGATCCTTTTCCCACTTGTGTTCCTTTCATGAAATGGCCTTACTTCCCCACCTTTTCCAAAATATCACCTTTCATATTTGAAATTTTACTAAGAACCATCTATTCAGATACAATCAGAGAACATCTAAACTCCCACTAGTCTGATCAGTGACAAAACTGTGCAGTGCCTTAGTCAACATTCTGTCATCAACACTATTTGGGTGTCAGAATTCATTTTAAAATGTATTTACACTTGAAGAACAGGTATATGTGATATTCTGGGAAAATATCTTTCCTTTTTTTAAATAATGAAGCTACACTAATAAATACCCACTTCCAGAGAAGGTAAAAGCTGCTCACTTTCCCTCAATTCCTCCTCCCTTGCCTATTTATTTCAGTAAAACAGATACTACTTCATTTCTCTTTGCCATTTTCAGATTCTTGTAACTTACTGGCCGTGAACATTTGTTAAATGGCAGAAATAGGAAGTAGGAAAGAATCTGTATCAAGGAAAAAGTCTTAAGTCTGTATTGTCAGCTAATTGTAACTTTCACTATTTTTCAGGGGTAAATCTGATTTATGTGACATAAATTCAATAAATAATTACTGCATTATGACAAAAGTTATGTCTCTGATCATCAGTAACACTAGAGAGACAAAGATTAACTAACCAATCAATTTCCAAGCCTTTTATCTTTAACAATACAAGGTTTCCCTTATAATTTCCTTAAAATTAAAAGCATTTTAAGAGCCAGGTATGGAGGCTCATTCCTATACTCCCAACACTTGGGAGGCTAAGGCAGGAGGATCTTGAGTTCAAAGCCAGCCTTGGCTACATAGTGAGTTCCAGGCCAGACTGGATTACATAGCAAGATCTTGTCTACAAAAAAACCAAAATAAATAAATAAAAAGCATTTTAAGTGATACAGGTTTAGTATCCCTTACGGAAAATGCCTGGTACCAAAAGTGTTTCTGATTTCAAGTACTTCTGGATTTTGGAATATCTGAGATGATAACACGATGCCTTGAGGACAGGCCCTAGATCTAAACACAAAACTCATGTTCTGTACACCTCACACACCTTGCCTGAAGGAAACTTCATACAATATTTTTATCGCACCTGTGTTTTGACCGCGACCCATTCCATAAGATCAGGTGTGGACTTTTCCACCTATGGCACAACAGTGGTCAAGAGGTTTTGGATTTCAGATTAGGGATATTCAAGTTGCGTAACTACCCAGCTCCACTTAAGAGTGGTTTACTCTACGTTCTGCCTTTATGCCATCATTGAAGACTCTGCGTAGTAAAATATTAGAACTGAAATTAGGCCACCTCCAATATTACATATGAGAGAACCAAAAGCTAAAAAGAAATTTGCATAAGATACAAAACTAGTAATTGAAAAGACCTGCAACTCAAACCCTAGTCTCATACTGCCACAGAAATTCATCAGCTCTGGCTCTCTTCCATAACTTAGGGACGTTCGTGTTCTCAACATCACACTAGACGTCATACTGGCTCATTACATGAACAACTGTGTTGAAACAATACGGTAACAGTAAAGTGTGAGATTTACGTTTTTTAAGAAAGCAATGACACATGTTTTACAGCATCACTATTCACAACAGCCAAACTATGGGATCAGACTAGGTGCCCATCAACTGATGAATGGATAAAGAAAATGTGGTATGACTGTTGGTGGGAATGTAAACTAGTACAACCACTCTGGAAAAAAATTTGGAGGCTACTTAAAAAGCTCAACATTGATCTACCATTTGATCCAGCAATACCACTCTTGGGGATATACCCAAAAGACTGTGACACAGGTTACTCCAGAGGCACCTGCACACCCATGTTTATTGCGGCCCTATTCACAATAGCCAAGTTATGGAAACAGCCAAGATGCCCCACCACTGACGAATGGATTAAGAAAATGTGGTATCTATATACAATGGAATTTTATGCAGCCATGAAGAAGAATGAAATGTTATCATTTGCTGGTAAATGGATGGAATTGGAGAACATCATTCTGAATGAGGTTAGTCTGGCCCAAAAGACCAAAAATCGTATGTTCTCTCTCATATGTGGACATTAGATCAAGGGCAAACACAACAAGGGGATTGGACTTTGAGCACATGATAAAGCGAGAGCGCACAAGGGAGGGGTGAGGATAGGTAAGACACCTAAAAAATTAGCTAGCATTTGTTGCCCTTAACGCAGAGAAACTAAAGCAGATATCTTAAAAGCAACTGAGGCCAATAGGAAAAGGGGACCAGGAACTAGAGAAAAGGTGAGATCAAAAAGAATTAACCTAAAAGGTAACACACACGCACAGGAAATTAATGTGAGTCAACTCCCTGTATAGCTATCCTTACCTCAACCAGGAACACTTGTTCCTTCCTATTATTGCTTATACTCTCTCTTCAACAAAATTAGAAATAAGGGCAAAAATAGCTTCTGCTGGGTATTGAGGGGGTGGGGGGGAAAGGGAGAGATGACCCAAGCCTTGTATGCACATATGAATAATAAAACAGTAAAAAAAATTGTATACTTAAAAAAATGTGGTATGTATACACAAGGGAGTATTAGCCATAAAGAAGAATGAAATTGGGCTGTACAGCGGCTCAAGTGGTAAAAGCACCTGCCTAGCAAGCGTGAGGCCGAGTTCAAACCCTAGTAACACCAAAAAAAAAAAGAAGAATGAAATTATGTTTTTCTCAGGAAAATGAACTGGAGAGCATCATGTTAAATGAAATAAACCAGACTGAGAAAGACAAACATGGCATGTTCTCTCTCATATGTGGAATCTAGACCTTAAAAAAATGAGCGACAGGAATGTAAAACGGGGACTGTTTGGAGGTAGGAACCCGCAGGAGGGGTGAGAGGGAAAGGAGAGGGTAAAGGTCGTTTATACACACGTATGAAAATAGAATAATGAAGCCTATTAAAAAAGGGAAGGAAGGGGGGATGAAAAAGAGTAATAGAGGAAAGAAAAGGTGAAAGTGAAAGTAATGGAAAAGTTGAGAGGAAAAGGATAAACAAAAAGAAAAGTAAGAATGGCAGATTAAAGTTATAGCATACCAAACTCTAGCTTTCACTGATAAATTTTTTTCCCCCTAAACTTTGGATTTTCAGATTCCTCTCTACCTCAGTCTCAAAAGGAAAAAAAGTCCTACTAGGCTATGAAAAAGGCAACACAGCACACAGGAACGATGGCATAGACACTCCAGTAATAGTTTGAATAAATCTTTAGCTTTAACTGCTAGCAATAGCTTCATTAAAATATCTTAACAAAAATACAAATTTTCAGATTTAAGGGCTGGTGAGGTAGCTCAATGGTACAGCACCTGCCTAGCAAGGATGAGGTCCTGAGTTCAAACCCCAGTACTGGGGGGGAAAAAAAAAAGATTTGTACCACCTTTCAAAAATAGAGAACGCATTAATGAAAAATAACAGTTTTGGCAAAATACAAATGAAAAATAACCATTAATCTGAAGAAATTTCTTTCATCTGTATTCTAAATACTCAAATTAAAACTTTACTTTCCAAATTACTATAAAAACTTACAAGATTGTGAAGATGAACATTAAATTTTTCTATGGGATGTAACAATTAAATGTCATAATGAAAAAATTAAGATATCAAATATTGAAGGCACATTATATCTTTGTGTCATTCCTTCAATTACATGGATATTAAATTCCTGGTTTGCTAGTTCAGTTGTTATGGAGCCTGGCACACTGAGACCACAGATGCCAGGTGATTGGAGATTTTGAGCATCATCTATTTTAGGGCAACATGTTTGGATAAGAAGAATTAATCGAAAGTGTTGTGGATATGTACATTAAAAATTACTTCAAAAGAAAAGTAGATGGACCAGTTCAAGTCCATTTAAAATCATTTCTATTAAGGAGTGAGAGTATGCTTTATTGCAAGAAGTTTAAACATACAATGGAGTGAAGGTTTAGTACTAGGCATTTCATTTCACATACGTAGTGTTACTATACAGGACAGGCTTAAATTTACGATGACACTAAAATTGAAACTACTTAATAATTTTCTAACTAACAACAAATTTTAAAATATTGCTCTGAACATAGAAGTATGTATACTCTTTGAATTTAGGGCAAAGATAGTCACATATTGTTGTTCAAATTAAATATACTACTATATCTCAATAAAGTCTTCTATAATCTATTATTCTGAAATGTTATCAATTTGAACAGAGGGATCACATTTTCTTCCCTCATCAACTATCAGGTAGTAAAATAAAATGGGAAACAACACCCAGTATTAAAATGCAACCAATTATCTTCTTTCCATTCATAACCCTTTTAAACTGACGTTTCCTATCAACAAAAATTACACCACTAAACATAAAGCCCCCAAATTGTATATATTCTTGCTACTAATAATTCTTACCCGTGCTATATTCAGTAATGCGCGTTTGCATTTTAAGTATCTGACTGTATTATCATCTTTGACAATAATATCCAAGTCCAATATCCCCCCCAAAATAGTATTTAAAGCAGTGCCATAAGCACAAAAATAAGGCACTGTTAACATATAGTAATGCAGCACTAATAGTCATTTTTATGTCTTTTCATGGCACAGAGTTGCAAAGCACTGTTAAAACAGTATGTTTTAAGGGCAAACTCTGGAAAACGAGTCTATCAATTACAGCTCAAAAGAAAATTGAATTCTGAAAGGCTCCAAATCGAAGTTTGTCCAACTTCGCAGCTATACACTGTGGTGATTCTTGAAAATAAGTTTCTCACGATTTAAACAAGCAAATGTCTACAGACACGCGCATAAAGGGCTTTACGTTAGTCTACTTACGCGCGCGGCACAGCCTGAGTCCTGACGGTCACACACAGCGGGGCAAGTTTTAAGAGAAGCCAATATTTGGGTTAGTGGCGTGAAGGGCTAGCAAGAGTGAGGCCCTGCGTTCAAATCCCAGTGAGAGAGAGAGAGAGAGAGAGAGAGAGAGAGAGAGAGAGAGAGAGAGAGAGAGAGAGAGAGAGAGAGAGAGAGAGAGAGAGAGAGACCCCCCCTCTGTTGAGATTTCTGCTGCTGCCTCTATTAGGATGGCCGAACACTGCAAGGCTGGAGTGTGGACCACGAATTCAAAGGGAGTTTAAAGTTTGCAGAGGGAGCAAATGGGTGTCTAAGAGACCCGAGAGCCCCCGCGACGAAGCCCAAGACTGGGATCTCAGCCGGGGCTTCCCCACCGCAGATTCAGCACCCCGAACACCTCACCAGCCATCGAAACTCTGAGGCAGCAGGAAACAAAGACGGCCCCCGGGTCCCCGCGGCGCGGCTGCCGTCACGGTGGGAGGGGACAGTTACCTTTCCCGCACTCCTCCCCGCAGCCTCCCACTCTTCAAAACCCGACGCCCCCCAGAGGCCCCGGCGACCACCAGGGCGTCCCACGCAGAGGGAAGCGCCGACTCCGGGAATATCCCGACGTGACCGCGAGGTTGCCAGGCTCACCAGCAGTCTGGACGCCCCGCCCGGGTGGAGTGTCCCCAAAGCCTCCGGAAGGGACGCGCGGGCGCAACGGCCGGGCCGGACCGGACCGAACGGACCCTAGCGGCCGACGGACAAGGGGAGGGGTGTCGGGGAAGGAGCGCGGCGGGCAGCAGGTGGGAAGCGGCCGGAAGGCGGCGGGGGAGAGCGGAAATAAGGCGGAGAGAGGTCAGGGCGCTGCGGGCGGGCGGAAGGACAGCGGGGCCCCGACGGCAGACCGCGCGGCGCGAGGGCGGACGGACTGACGGGAGAGAGGGCGGGAAGAAACTGCGCTCGCACACCTCCCTCCCGGGGCTCAACGGGGCTGGGGAGAAAAGCAAGGCGAGCCCCGCAGACGGCCTAAAGTGCCCCCTGCCCAGTCTGCGTGAGCGTGACTGAGACGGACGGGAGGCCGCGGTCCCCAGCCGTTAGCAGCGGTTTGGCAGTGCCCCCGCTGACCCCATCCTCTCCTCACCCCGTCGGGTCTTCAAATCTTGGGCCTAAATCCCTGGGACCAACGACCACAAACCGCCGCCGCCGTTTGGGGGGGATCAGTCGGTCTGAGAAGGGGGCTGAAGGGGGAGGGGAGCCCACCGGGGGAGCTCGCGCTGGTCCACGCGCCTCGGCAGGCTCCCAGCGGGCGTCTCGCGCTGTGAGCCTAGACGGCCTCACGCGGTGTGGTGCCTTGACCAATCAGCAGCCAGCCCCTCCCTGGGAGGCGGGGCCAAGGATTAAATCTGAAGGAGGCTCTTGGGAGAGGAGTAAAAGGCTTGGAGTGACGGGCATTGTAGCCAATTGGGGCGAGAAGAGCGAATTTTAGGGTGTGAGTGAGCTTGAGTGATGACAAATGAAGGTCCCGCATTGTTCAAGGCGGTTAAAACATGCTCTAATTTGAATTTACGCACTTTTCTTAGGGGAAGTATAGATTCATTGTGAAGATTCTTTGTCTTGTTTGACGGAATTTTCAAGTCTTAATCTCTAGCTTGACACAAAACAGTCATATATGCTAACTGTGGACCTTTCTAAATAAAGGCAAGGGTGGAGTGGTGCTTTATAAAAGCTACTTCTCTGAGCCCCGGTGTAAAATGGAGATGGTTAGCATTAAATGATGTTAATAAGTATTGAACACTTTTATGTGCCAAAAGCAATTCCAAGGGATTTCCATATATTCCATTTAATTCTCACGGTACTTTGGCAAAGCTCCTCTTTACAGGTGGGGAAACTGAGACGCAGACAGCTTAAGTAGTTTGTGCGGCAAATAAGTGATCCCAGTTTGGCTCTGAAAACTGCAGACATAACCACTAGAATATACTGTCTCAAACTGTCCAGAAACAAGTAGAATACTTAACAGAATACCAGGACTCGTAGAAAGCTCCGCAAATATTTTCTTAAACTCTGCCTTTCAAGCTGCATCCTCGTTTTATGTGGGTCTTGTGCATTCAAAGCAACTAGAAACTAAACTGGTAGACCACCTGGCTGCTTTAAATAATAATAATAATAAGGCTCACGCCTGTAATCCTTGTTACTCACAGGCAGAGGGTCACAATCCTAGACCAGCACTATCTGGAAAAATGACCTAAAAGCAGCCAGGCGCCTGTGACCTGATACTTAGGAGTCTGAGATCGGGAGCATAGAGGTTCAAGGCCAGCGCGGGAAAATAGTTCGGGAGACCCCATTTCCAAAATAGCTAAAGCAAAATGCACTGGAGAGTGGCTCAAGCGGTAGAGCACCTGCTTTGCAAGCGTAAAGCCGTGAGTTCAAATCCCCAGTCCCACCAAAAGACAAAAAACTGAAAGCAAAAAGGGCTGGAGGTGCGTCTCAAGTGGTCAAGCGCCTGTCTAGCAAGCATCAGTACCGTTAAAAAACAAAACAAAAAAAAACCCTACAAAACTGCAAGGATAACAAAATCCCTCTACAAAACTGCAAGGATAATGATTGTTGAGTTGTGTTGGTTGCTGTTTGGCATTTCCTTTTATTTTTCTGGAAAAAAAATTCTCCACATTCTTCATTTTCGTGTTAATGCCTTTTTAATCGCCAGTAGTTAATTCTACATACAGTGTGTTTAAGGTTAATGTAGCCTAAATGACTTTAAAACGTTTATTTGGAAGACTTCCTTTACGACACTTAAAGAGTCACTAGGTGGCGATATCGATGTGAGATGCGAAGGACAGTTGGAAGTAGCCTGAAGGGTTGTCATTTCTTGTTTGTGTTTTTTTGCTTCCCCCTCCCCCCCATTATAAAGGAAAATGAACAAACAAGCATTGCCTAATAAGCATTAGAGTCAGGCCATAGAAATTTGCTTTAGATAAAACAGTGTTTGGGGTTTTTTTTGAAGCATTCGATCTTTTATTTTTTAAATTATTTTATTTTACCGTTTTTTTTGCATTTGCTTACATGTGTATACATTATTTGGGCCACCTCTCCCCTTCCTCCTAGATAAGAAAGTGTTAAAAGACCCTTCCTAGGTGTCATTTGGGTCAGATTCCTTCTAGAGTTGTTTTACCCAAAGTTTATTAGTAGCTGTATTTGTCCAGTGCTACAATGAGCAGTGTTTATTTCTCAAGGTTACTATGAAGAGCTGTCTGAAGCAGTTTTGCCAACTAGGATTCTTGTTCTAAATTAGGATTTGTTACAAATTTGTGGAAAAGGTGATCCAAGTGAATAAGAAAAAAAAGAACATAAACATATTTTTGACTCAAAAGAAGCCACTTGTTGGCGAAGGAGAAAACAGAAGGGGGACTCTGTAAATAGCAGAAAGAAATGATACTGACTGTGGGACATGAGAAGAAAAAGTTAACAAAAGAATGGAAGAGATATGCAATATATAGTTGGTTAAAATAGTCTGGATACTTGTAAATGTATTTTCCCCATAGGAAGTACAAGCTTTTTGATTATTTAGAAGTTAGTATTAAATCCCTTATATAGAATATAGTCCCCTCTGAGGGAAGAAAAGAAAGCAATGGGAAGTCCTTATAAATGTTTAAGATCTAGCTTAAGCCTCTTAAAAGAAATGAAGGTGAAATTTTCCATCTAAAAAGCAGTGTGCAGTGGTTTGGTTTGTCTCCCACATGTGGGGGCTTCTTCCATCCATTTGGGTGACACGCATCCCAAAACATGGCGACTGTGTGGTTACAGAATTAACGTTCTGCAGTATGGTATGTAGGTCTGCTTTGATCTGGTGATGCTTCTCTTGAGATGACATTGCAAATCCTTTTAAAAGTGGGTTTTTTTTCTGTACTGGAGTATGAACTTAGGGTCTTGCACTTGCTAGGCAGGTGCTCACCACATGAGCCACTCTGCCAGCCCTTTTTGCTTTGGTTATTTTTAGGTAGGGTCTTGCTTCATGGTCCAGGTTGGTCAGGACCACCACCATCCTCCTGTTTGTGCTATAGAGTAGCTTGGATGGTACCACCACATCCAGCCATTGGCTGAGATAGGGTCTCTTGAACTTTTTGCCCCATGTGGCTTTGAACTACAATTCTCCCTTCTCTGCCTCCTGAGAAGCTAGAATTACCAGCATGAGCCACCAGTGCCAGCTGGTTTGGGTTTTTTTTTAATGCTGATGTTACATATGTTCCTTTCAGTTCATGGACCCTATCTTTCTTACCTTGGTTTGATTATTCTGTGACAGATCTATCTCAACTTCTAATTACTCTTCACTGTGAGCATCAGCATCAAGATGACTCTAAGGCAGGACAGATATATTAGCAATGCTTTTTCTAGTCGTGGCAAAGAGCCATCTTTCCATCCTATCAGTGTACTTCTAGTGACTGACAACCTCACTTTCCTAGGCAGCAAAACAGAAGTTGACATCTTTGTAGCTTCATGTCATATATCAGGATCAAACCCATGGTCAAAGCCACAATTAACATAAGTATAAACAACAGTAAGTACTGATGAGCCAGCCTTTTCCTGGTTGGAATTGGTTGTTAGTTTGCATCAGGGTCCTGTCATCTAATTATTAAAAGTAAACAAATACACTACATGTTAGAAATGGGATTAGGCAATGTCAGGGGAAAACCTGTTTTCCCCTCTCAGAGGAAATCTAGGCTTAACTCACAGCGTGAGGAAATCTAGCATAGATTTAAAATTTGAAGAAAATTATTTTGAAGGTCAGCTTTAGGACATTAGTGTATACAAGATGTTTGAGGCAAAGCAACTTCTTGGGAGAAACATTTCTTTCTTTGCACTGCGTGGATGGTGTCCTGGATGATGACAGTCCTGACTCCAGCTCTGTCACTGCCACTGCACTTTGCATTTTCTCAAATTGGGACATAAACAGAGTCTATGGGACTCTTAAAAGCAAAGAAGGGTGCCATTTTCAATTGGTGTTTTAAAGCATCAGATGTTTCTAATAGATCATTGTATCTGTTTTAATTTGCATCTATTAGCTTGTATTCACAGTCTTGAGGGCATTGCTGAAATCCTGTCATTTTATATTTTGCCTGCTTTTACTTATTCCATTCCAATTCTCATTCTTAATAAACAAGATGCAGTTCCAATCAACTCAGATCTTAACACCATTGAATTAGTAAGCCCTTGCAACAAAAGAAAATCTTGTTCCATCAGAAAAATTTATTTAAATGTAAACTGTCAAAAACACCTATAATCTGTAATTCTGATTTTCCTCAGGTCCCGGTGGCCTTGTACATATGGGGCAGGCTATCCACACTGAACGAGAACTTCCTTTGTGGTTCAGCCCTGTAGTAGTGTGACTAAGTATGAGCTGCAGTAAGTCTGTAGTATGTGCTTAGATGGTGAGGCGTTGGGTAAGCAGGGTGCAGGCCAATCGCTTGGGGCTTTAATAGTCAAGACGGGGAGTAGTCACTGGAATTACTATAAGACATAAATTCAGAATGATTGCTGTAAGAGCAAGTATTGCTGGAGCTTAGCTCCAGTGTTAGGGTGCCTGCCTACCAAGCACAAGGCTCTGAGTTCAAATCCCAGTACTGCCAAAAAATAATTTTAAGAACAATTTTTTTTGGCGGTACTGGGGCTTGAACTCAGGGCCTTCACCCTGAGCCACTCTGCCAGCCTTTTTTGTGATGGGTATTTTAGAGACGGGGTCTTGCCAACTATTTTCCCAGGCTGACTTTGAACCTCCATCCTCCTGATCTCTGCCTCCTGAGTAGCTAGGATTACAGGCATGAGCCACTGGTACCTGGCAAGAACAAATATATTAAAATTTTACACAGCTAGATTTTTTATTTCTACTTATTTACTAAATGTAACAAATGATTTAATCTACTTTATGACTTTTATGCAGAAAAGTCCGTTCTCTTGTATGTGTGATAAGCTGTAAATAGGGTTTTATGAAAAGCACACAAACTCTGGAATTAGAGTCAGAAAACTCATCAGAACAGCATGCAGGAAGCTGAATTCAATCCCCAGCATCAGGAAAAAAAGAAGACCTGTAGAGAACCCACTAGCAAGGCATTCTCTTTCCTAGTTCTGCATAGTCCTGGTCAACGCCCATAACCTGCCTGAGCTTTAATTCCGCAGCTGGAAAGTGGCTGTTGCAACTCTGACAGATGTGAGGAAGACATGGCAGTACTCAGCCCTGCACTAGCCACCTCAGCCCTGCACTAGCCACCTCATTGGCGGGATGTGAGCTTTTCAGTATTGTCTCTTGAATTGTTTGTTAGCTATCATTGTAGGAATTTAAAAAGCAAAATATAATGTGCCTTCACACAGCCCAGAACTGTCTCCTCTTAACATATGGTCACATTTTCCTTCATTTTTTTAATTAAAAAAGTATATACATGTACCCACATCATAAAGTTAGAATCCTCTGACTCCGGTCCTAGTGCCATTCTCCCT